GCTCCTGTTCCCACAGGCCCTGTGCAGAATCACACGCCAGTCTCCTGCGGCCTTCCAGAGCGTCATTGAGAAGGTGGGGCTCAATGCCGTCATCAGCTCCCTGGCCTCGTCCATCTGCAAAGTGCAGCAATACATGCTGACGCTGTTCGCGGCCATGCTGTCCTGTGGGGTCCATCTGCAGCGGCTCATCCAAGAAAAGGTCTGACTCTGCTCAACTTTGCTGGAAGAACCAGTCTTCCTCCCACAGTGGTGCATTCCATATGAAATGTCATCCATGCAGGTTCAGGTGTCACCCCAAGGGGGCCTTTTGGCCTTTGCCAGACCTTTCACATACCACGGAACACTCGCAGGTGGCTGCTGCCATCTTGCTTCAGTGAGGAGAAAGGGCAGAGCTCACGAGGCTTCTCCATGCTGCTGTTTCCACTCTGTGGCCTTGCAGCCCGGCCTCTCCCCTTGTGCTCTGTCCTTCCTAGCTGGAGGGCCCCCCCTCCCTCTGTTCCCTCTGACCATGTCCATTCATAACTCGCCCATGTCACCTCTTGAGTCCTCTTCCCTGTTGTGATTTCATCTCCGCTGGGCCTCTTGATGACCTTGATCTGATTCCCTGTAGTTCCCGTCTGCATGGTAGCTATGACTGGGTCTCTGTACAGCCTTTCTCCTCCTGTCACTTCTTGTCCTGATGAAAAGTGATGTATGCTATCATCACCTCCATGACTGTGGCATGCTGGGAACGCAGACACTTATGCCTGCTCATGCCTGCTACCTCAGAGCCCACAGGAGCATGCTGTGTCTGCTGAGTGATTTGACCCTAATGTTTCAGAAACCTGTGTACAGCGAGTGTACAGCCAGGTGTCAACACTTAAGAAAAGACCACGTTTGTAAGATAATGAGTCAAAGGGTGGCGTGTTCTTGGTTGTGCAGTGTTTCCCAGCTGTAAATGGAGTTCTTAACTGGTCTAGATAATAAAAAGCCGGAGTCAGATATAGAGGGAAATGCTGAGAGATCAGAGAGAAGGGGCAAGCCATAGCACACCCCACCTCCTAAGTAACTCAGCAGACAAGAGAGCGTCTTCTTGTTTCTTCCTGCTTATATCCTGTTTCTGCCCAACTACCTCACTTTCTGTCTGTCTGTACAGACCTCCAGACCTCTATGGTTGGCTGGTGGCAAGTTCCATTCTCTGACCCCCAGACAGGCTTTATTTGTACAAGCAAGACACCATCACAGCCAGCTTCTTGAAAAGAATGTTCCTGTAGTATTCTCTACACCTACCTGGGCCAGGGATGGGGAAGCACACTTTAAAATCCGAGTCATCATTCGTCCATCCGTCCGTCCGTCCGTCCTGCCATCCATCCATCTGTCCATCCGTCCTGCCATCCATCCATCTACCCATCCATCCGTCCATCCATCCATCCATCCATCCATCCACCCATCCATCCATCCATCCATCTGTCCGTCCGTCCATCCATCCATCCACCCATCCATCCATCCATCCATCTGTCCGTCCGTCCATCCATCCATCCACCCATCCATCCCTCTGTGCTGGGAGTGGAGCCGTTTGCTTTCACTGCTGGGCCTGCCCTCTGCCACTGCAGCACCCGCCACTCTCAGTTCAGAGTTTTGTAAATCTCAATGGTGGATGTTGAACAGGGCCATTGAAACCCACTGTTGGCTGTGGTCCTACTGTATTAAATGCTGTCTATTGTTTTTTTATGTTTAAAGTTAGAATTTTTACATTAAAAACATACTTGCATGGTACCTTAGCTTCTGTCGCTGTGATAAAATTGTCTGACAAACATGCTTAGGGAAAAGGGTAAGGTTTATTTTAGCTCACAGTCAAGGTTACGAAGCTGGTAGCAGCCACTCACGTCATCCACAGCCGGGAAGCAGAGAGTGATAACTGCTCAGCTCCTTCCTTCATCAGTACAGACAGGATCCAGGCCAGGGGTTGGCTCCACCCACAGTGGGCGGGCCCTTCCAAGCCTTCCTGTCTCCCAGAGCAGAGCAAAGCATGCTTGGCCTTCACTCCTGTTTGATGTTCAGATGGCTATGGCTGCAAGCAAGTGTTGTTCAGGAGTCTGTGTGTCTAGAATTGCTATTCAGTTCTCCAAGTTACTAAATGCAATGATCATTTTATAGAAATAGTCACTCTTGATAACTTTATTGTGAGAGTTGTGGTCAGAGAGGCTGAGGGTTTTAACAGAATTATTTTTTAAACTCTCACTACACTGTTGTATAATATTTTTAAAAGTCAGGCAAATGAGATACATTAATTGTTTCATGCCATGTAACTATGTTTCCATGTCTGTTAAATGAATGAATAGATAACATTTGCTCACTTTTAATTATATTGGCCCTTTCTCCCACCCAAGTACCAACCAGGTCCCACTCTGCCCAGCCTCTGAGATCAGATGAATTCAAAGTATTGTGGCTGAGGCAGGGCCTGGCCTTTCTTTCTTTTCTGTACACACACTAAGGGGGCACCTGGATTTGAACTGGGGATGTCTCGATCTGCAGTCAAATTCCCTACCACTGAGCTATACCCCCTCTGCAGATCCTCATAGCATGCTCTGACAGCAAGGCTGGGGAAGGGGGTCCCAGCTGGAAAAGGGGGACCCAGCTAGAGAAGGGGGGCCCAGCAGGGGAAGAGTTCGTTATTGTAGAGTTGAATGAACACCCCAGCTTTCCACAGCTCTTCATTAGCACTGCTTTGTCAGGGGATCATGTTGGGGTGCTCTGTCATGATCAGATGAGGTCTAGGGCCCCACAGTCCCTTTGCTAATGGAACCGGGTGTGTTTTTCATGGTGTTTGACAGAAACAGAGTAGCGACAGTTGAGTAGTTTTGTGTGTTGCAGGATAGGCCCTGTTCCTTTGGCTTTGCATGGACATGCTTGGTTACTTGTGTCTGTGTGCATGTATTATATGTACATTTGTGTTTGGTGTGCTCACTTGTGCGTGCACAGTTGGAGATATTTTGTAGCAGTTTTCTGGGATTTGAAGCTTCCATCCTAGAGACAGGCTGATTCAGAAACTAAACAACACACAAGTCTCAGGAAGTCCCTGAAACTGACCAAACTCACACAGCTTCTCCATCCCCAAGGTTATATGAGCAGTAAGGATGGCTGAGGAGAGGAAACCTTCCAGTCTGTTGAGCAGCCTGCCCATCATGCAATGATGTCATTTCTTCTAAGTCTATATCTAGACTGGGCAGGCTTTTTGGTGATGCAGTGGCCCTTGAGTTACCCACTCTCCTGTGAGTAACTCTTCACTCGTGCTCCCATAGGGAACCCCAGGAAACTCATTGCTTCTCCAAGTGTGGCTTTGGTCTGCCCTCACTGTCCTGTTTGGGGTAAGCAGATGTTTGAAGAGACAGGAAGGCCTTATTAGGTTTTGAGGCAGAGTCTCTTACTGCAGTGTAAGAGTTTACTGAAGTATTTGCAGTTTTGGCTTGGTCAGCTGACTGGCCAGCATGTTCCCAGAATCCTCTTGTCTGTTTCGAGACTCCCTAGCTCTGTGGTTTTAGGTGTAGGCTGCAAGGTCTGGGTTTTACATGGGGTGTGGGAGCTAGTTCTCGTGTTTGTTCAGCAAGTGTTCTACCCAGAGAGCCATCTCCCGGGATCCTTAGTTATTTTCTTATGATAAACTTTTAAGTAAAATTGCCAAGTTACTCTTGCAGTTGAAAGCTCTTTTCTGTCCCACTTGGTCTCGCTGGACCAGTTTCTCTTCCACCCACTGGTCCCCACAGCTGTTTATAAAATAATCACTTAGAGGCTTAATCACTTAATTAATATTAATTACAAACTGTTTGTCCTATTCACTTAGGCTTATTACCAACTAGCCCTTACAACTTAAATTAGCCCATTTCTGTTATTCTATATTTTACCACGAGGCTTGTGGCTTGTTACCTCATATCGTGCTTCCTTGGTGGCTGCTAGTGTCTCCAAGTGACTTCTTTCTCCCTATATCTCTGCTTGGATTTTCCACCTGGCTATATTCTGCCCTACCATAGCCCAAAACAGCTTTATTCACCAACCGATGAAGGCAACACTTATCAGTAGTTACAGATAGGAGGACAGAAGGACCTCCCACATCACACTCATTTTTAAAAGGCCCTTTTCCTAAGTAGTTTATTTTTGATAGCGTGGGTTAGAAATAGCTGCAGTGCTGCTGAGAGGCCCAGTGGTGGTAGGTGCCAGGAGCACCATGCCTCAGGGCTGTGCTGAGTTCATGGTCAAAGCCCCTTTCTTCCTTCCCTTTGGTCTGTTTTTCTGCCTCAGCCCAGACACATAGTAGTCCCATGGTGAATTCCTGTTTTCTTCTCTTGGCACGCTCCATCTCTATGACGTCGGTGAGCCACGGAAGTTAGTTTCAGAGTGTTAGCAGCTGTGGCTCTTTAGACGTTTTGCCCAGAAATCACACAGGTCGCAAAGTCCGCTTTGCCCTCTCACATTAACACACAGGCAGAAGGTTGCCCATCAGAACTTAGAGAAGAAGGGTCCTCAAGGCTGGCATCCAGCCTCGGAGAACCTTGGCATGCTGTGTAGTTGTTACTGAGACACACCACGACTGCAGAAACAAAACCATCCTCTCAGAAAGACTCGCTGGAGCCAGCTGTGACGAGGAACTGAACTTGGGCACCAAGAGTAGCCACAGTGATGGATGCTCAGAGGCGTGCGTGTCTGACAGAAAGCTGCACACATGAATTTGGTAGAATAGTTCAGAATTCCGTTCCCGTGTGTACCTGTCACCATTAGTCACACACACAACTAATATGAGATTCAAGTACATTCCTTTCCCTCTGCATTATCACAAGGTTAAAAAAAAAATCCTGACACCACCTCACTGTTGAACTCAGTAACAACTTAGGTCGTTTTTACATGTATTTGTGTGTGTGCATGCCTATAGTTATATCTGTGTATGAGACTGCACACCTCAGCTTGCATGGAGAGGTCATCATACAACTTGCAGGAGTCCAGTCTCTACTTCCGCCATGTGGTTCCCGGGGATCAAATCGTCAGCATCAGCTGCAAGCCTGTTTACCCGTTAGTCCTTTGATAGCCGTCAGGGTCACAGTTTCCTCACTGCCTTACACGTGACTCTTCAATAGACATTTGAAGTAGGTGGGATCTAACCAAGGCTGCTGCCCCAGGTTCCTTGGTCTGCTTACTCTTGGCTCTTAGGTTTGCTACGTCTTTTTCCATCTCCATAATGGATTTTTGAGCACAGGGTTCAGAGTTCTGTGGACTTTGCCCCACCGGGGTTTTGCTGGTTGGATGTAGCAAACACCTTAAGAGCAGGGCATCTTTTGGCACATGTTGTGTGCGTTTCTCGTACCGTGTGTGTGTACAGGTTTGGATTCTTGGGGGAGGGTAAACTCCACCAGGGAGTGGATTGCTCCCGGGAGAAGAGACAACTGTCACTCACCTGCCTGTTTTCTCATGTGTGGAGCAGTAATGGCTCGGGGCGCTTTTAGCATCATCCTATCCAAGATCGGTTTTAGGGGCCTTCAGCTGCCTTCGGTGATGTCTGCCTATGCCGGGCTCCGCTCTACCCAGCCCTGTCATTTGTCTTTATCACTCAGGGTCCCTCCCTTGGAAAGACGTCTGAGGAACAATGTGGCACGTTTGACTGCAGCAAAGGCAGGGTAAACACTTTGTTCATATGTTTACCCGTTTGCACAACAATGAGTCGGTTGCTTAGCAGTCTCCAAAGGCTGCTCCTTTGAGTGTTCTCGTGCTCACTCAGATTTTATGATTTGGCTGTGCTGGTGTAGCACAGAGCAGCTTCTTTTTCTAAAGGCTGTGAGTCGCCCCCTGGGTCTTTTCGTCTTGACTCCTGTGGTCCTTGCATCTAACTGTGTGATATGACAATAGTTTCTGGCGTGGCTGTCTCGTCTCTGGATCTGAAGCAGTCTCTCTCTCTCTGAGGAGTCTGACAGGGGCTCTCCTTGGGCTTGGCTAGCTATTGTCTCTAGTCTTTTTGATTGACAAAGCCAGTGAGCATCTATTTAAAAATATGTCACCTGCTTGTGGTGGCATTTCTTTCTTTCTTTTTTTTTTTAAGAATATCTTTTTTTTTTTTTTAAGATTTTATTTTATTATGTATACAGTGTTCTGCCTGCATGTCAGCAGAGGGCACCAGATCTCACTCAAGGTGGCTGTGAGCCACCATGTGGTTGCTGGGAATTGAACTCAGGACCTCTGGAAGAACAGTCAGTGCTCTTAACCTCTGAGCCATCTCTCCAGCCCTTGTGGTGGCATTTCTAACAACCACATTTTTATGTTTTTTGTTTGTTTGTTTGTTTGTTTGTTTAATTTAAGCTGGAAATCTTGTTTCCTAATGTGATATGATTTTACTGTCTTATAATGTTTGGTCAGGATGGTAACATTAATATAGTTCCAAATATAATTCTTGTGTGTGTGTGTGTGTGTGTGTGTGTGTGTGTGTGTGTGTGTGTGTGTGTGAGCGCGAGCGCGCGCGCGCTTGGGACAGTCTCGTGTAGGGATGTGCAATCATGCTTTCTATTCTCTTATGCTCTGCTCTGTGAGACCGCTAATTCCATATATACTGAGGTATTTACTTATTTTTTTTTAAATTAGGAGTGTATTAGAAAGTAGTTCAATTTGATTTTCCTTTTGAGGCAGGGTTTCTAGTATCCCAGGCTAGTCTTGAACTCCCTCTGTAACTCAAATGACCTTGAGCTGACTCTCCTGCTCCCAAATGCTGGGGTTGCCATTGCACATTACCAAGTCAGACTATGGGGTGCTGGGAAGGGACCCTGGGTTACCCAGTGCATGCTGGGTAAGCCCTCTGACACTGAGCCACAGCCCTGGCCCGTAATTTGTGGTATAATCATTTAAAATACTAACTGGGCAGCTGGGGGAAAGGCTCAGTGGGTAGGAGCACTTGGTGTGCACTCGTGAGGACCACTTAAAAAGCTGGGTGTGGCTCCTCCGTTGTGAGGGGCTTGGCGGCTGCCAGACACCCTGGTTACAGTTCAGATGGGAGGCATTGTCTCAAAGGCAGAGATAAGGCTGGCCACTGAAGTCTCTGTGTGTACACACAGGCATGGGCACCTCCCCCCCACAACTTGATTGATGGGTCAGTTCAAGAAAGAGCCGAGTGGAGCCCATGAGATGGCTCAGTGGTTAAAGACACCTTTTGCCAAACCTGACACGCTGCGTTCAATTTCTAGAATCCACACAGAGGAAGGAGAGAACCAGCTTGCAAAAGTTATTCTTTGACTTGTACACAGGTGTGCTGTGGCCACACACACACACACACACACACACACACACACACACACACAACTTGGTTTAGACATATATGAGAAGAGGAATCTTAATTGAAACAATGCCTTCATCAGATTGGCCTGTAGGTGAGTCTGCGGAACATTTTCTTGACTGACGGTTGATGTGGGAGGGCCCAGCTCATGGTGGGTGGAGCCACCTCTGGGCAGATGGCCCTGGGTTCTATAAGATAGAAGGCTGAGTGAGTCATGGGGAGCAAGCCAGTAAGCAGCTCATCTCCATGGCCTCTGCATCAGCTCCTGCCTCCCATTAAGAATATGAGCAAGGGGGCTGGACTGATGGCTCAGGGGTTGAGAGCACTGGCTGCTCTTCCAGAGGTCCTGAGTTCAGTTGCTAGCAGCTATGTGATGGTCACAACCATCCGTAATGAGATCTGGTGCCCTCTTCTGGCCTGCAGGAATGAACACTGTATACGTAATTTAAAAAGAAGAACATAAGCAAATGTATCCACTTGCCTGCCTGCCTGCCTGTCTGTCTGTCTGTCTGTCTGTCTGCCTGTCCTCTGTGTATTCACATAACTTCTCTTTTCTCTGTCTCTCCCTGCATCTCTGACTCTGCTCAAGAGTGATCCAGAGAGTGCAGGACTTGGGTGTGATCCAGAGCCTGTAGTTGTACCTGGGGGAGGGGAAGAAGAAAAGTCAGGAAGGTTGTGAGTCGGCTAGTATGGTGAGGATTGTCAGAGCAGGGTGAGCATGTGTCTGGCGCTTGGTGTACAAGGCTGCCCGTGCCTGCGCCTGAGCAGTTACCCCTTCTTGGCTTTTGGGTCTGTTCCGAACCATGCGTGAAGTTTTCTCACCTGCCTGAAATGTGAGCACTGTGCCTCTTTACTTCTAATCCCTCAACTGATAACCCTTAAAAACAAAACAGGAACTTGGAAAGGAGACACACTCATGGATCCAATGTCAACACTTGAGTGCTTTCGGGGCTGCTGTTCACCGTGTGATGTTCCCCTGGGAAACAAACTTCTGGGTCACTCTCAATGCCTCTTACCGTGTGCGGCCATTGTTCCAGCCTGGCACTAGTGGGAGCTTGACTCTGTGTGTGTGTGTGTGTGTGTGTGTGTGTGTGTGTGTGTGTGCGCGCGCGCGCGCGCACAGTGCACACATGTGTGTGCCTTTCCTATTTGCATTTGGATCTAGAACCTGCCGTAGTTTCATTCTGTCTGACAAGTGCCACTGGCCATTGCTTGGTGTTGTGAGACCTTTAAGTAAAGAATGTTAGTGCCATGTTTCCGTTCATGTCAGTCACCAGGTGTACTCTTAAGCTGTTTATTAAGCTCTGTCATGGAGGTGGGAGCTGTGTCTGTGTGACATGTGTGTCCCCCGCTGAGACTCAGGTCTGCTTGCTTCTCTGGTCTCCCGTGATCCGTCTACTTTCACTACCTCCTGTTATGTACCTGAGGCGTTGTTTTCCAACTGGGCTGGATTTGAACTCAGCTCAGAATTTGAGCAAATCATTCATCCTATGAAGATTTACCTTTTTTTCTTTAAAAATTTGAATGTTTTTAATTAAAATATATCACTTTTCCTCCCTTCTCCTCCCTCTTGCCTCTCCAAATGACCCCTCTCTCTAACCCACTCGTAACTCCCTTACAAGATACAGGTGTAGGAAATAAGATTCCATGTGCCCAGGAGTCAAGGCCAACAATGGACAAGGGGGACCTTGTGAAATTCCATTGCTTTTGTCAACACACACGGGATAATTTCAGGTTTAAGTGAGATAGCACACAGGGGTGTGGACCAGACTTGGAATGCAGACATAGCTGATGGGTTTTTGTCGCCTGCCTCCTGTTTGATCACTATAGTCCACGCGAGCCTTGGATTGACCGCCTATCATGTCTCCCCCAGGACTTCGTGTCTACAATCATCCGTTTACTGGACAGCCCGTCCACTGCCATCAGAGCCAAAGCCTTCCTGGTGCTGCTTTACACCCTCATTTACAACCGTGACATGCTGCTGCTGAGCTGCCAGGCGAGGTAGGCACCTCCAGGAGTGTCTGTCGGGCCCGTCAACCTGTGGTTTGCATGTGTCCAACAGGCGACTTAGTGGCCTTTACATATATGATATTGAAAACATTTGCTGAAGTTTGCCAAGAGTTGAATCTGCCTCTCCGGTACCCTCATCTTGTAAGCCCAGAGAGGACCCCGAGCACCAGCCGGTGAGGTCTCAAGCTGGTGGGCTCTGTGCCTTCAGGGGACCAGGGCTTTCCATGTAAGATGAAGGCTGAGGGGCCAAAGGCCCCACTGTAGGGTGTGGGATTTCCAGAACAGTCCTGGGCTAGTGTCTGTCTGTCACTTTGAGATTTTCTATTTTGTTTGTTCCTTTTAGAAAGAGATTGGTTTTGTAGCCCAGGCTAGCCTTGAACTCTTGGACCTCCTGCCTTAGCTTCCCCAGTTCTGGGATTGCAGGTGTGAACCACCACACTGAGCTCTCTGCCCCACCCTTCCTGTCAAAGGAAGAGCTGTCCTGGGTGCCCCCAAAGTTGTATTTGTGCTGGGTTCATTCTCACCGACATTTCTTCAGTTCCTCAGCCCTGCTCCACTGGGGTCCAGAGAGTCCTAAAAATCTTGTCAATACCTTTTCATTTGGAACCTGGGGCTCCCTGTGTAGCCCAGGCTGCCTTCAAGCTTCCTGTGTAGCCCAGGCTGCCCTCAAGCTCCCTGTGTAGCCCAGGCTGCCCTCAAGCTCCCTGTGTAGCATAGGCTAGCTTTGAAGTTGTGATCTTCATGCCTCAGTCTCCCCAAGAGGTGGGATTGCAGACCTCCTGGAAACCCTGAGACATGTTCAGTTAGGGTTAGGTTCAGCCCCTCCTATGAGGGGTTGACCCACTCTAAGCAGTTGTGGTGACCTCAGGAAGACTGGCAGTTTCATGTGGAGGATCCTGCCCTGTGAACTCTCCCAGGGCAGTGCCTGCTGTGACTCCCAAGCTCCCAGTAGTCTATGGATTGCAGCCTGCAGGAGCACCACTCTATACACTCTGGAGCCATGCAGTGAGCAGGGTGGCCTGGGCAGAGGGCGGGCTGCAGCAGAGAGGCCATTCAACCCAGGCTTGGCCCCTCCTGTGGGAGGGTGTGTTACCCAGAGCGGGACTCAGGTGGCTGTGGGCCAGGCTGTGAAGGATGGTGCCTCACATAGTCCTTAAGGAGAGGAGTTCTCCCCCTGCCTGTGTCTGCTGCACTAGGTCAGCCACTGAGCTGTGAGGACGTCCTCGTGCATGCAGGAAACCTCCAAGGAGAAAGAACAGGGTGACCATGCAGCTCCCAGAAAAACAAGTGATGGAGGAGACAGGAGAATTCCAGCTGTCGATGTGACTGCACGAAAGGGTTTTATGAATGTCAGCAGAACTGAAAAGAGATGGCCCTGTGAACCAAAGGCAAAGACTCAGCGGTGCGGTTCACACCCGCCAAAAGATGCTGAGCAGGTCCTGGAGACCTCACACACCAAGTGCTCAGGATTCTGGGTGGGGCCAAGGGCAGATGATCTTTAGCTTAGGACATTGGTGCAGGCTTCTTCCAGATGCAGCCTTTCTGTTGGTGCTTGCTTGACCTAGGACAGACTTAGAAAGACCAGTGACAAGGAGGCCTGAGACAGAGTGGAAGGTGGTGGCCAGCTGGACTTGTCTCTTCACAGCTGTGCTTTGAATGCTGGAGGGTGGCCAGCAGCTCGCTCACCCAGCAGGAAGGAAGAAGCCGAGGTGCTTTGCTGGGTACAAGGGAAGAGGCAGACTTGAGACAGAAGTCTGGGAAGGCTGGAATTGGGGGACCAGGCTCTCTGAAGGCAGAGCATGTCCCTGGAGATTGGATCCCCAGCCACTGTCCCCTATAGAGAGCACACAAGCACACTGGTACACACAGACACAGGCATACGTACACAGGTGTGTGTACACACACAGGGCATAGACAGAGGTCATGTCTGGTGTGGGAGGAGCCTCCTTTGTCACTAAAGCTGCTTCTATTGCCCTCTTCCGCCCTTCCTGTGGACACACCCTTTACTCTGGACACACCTACTTCCTGTGGACATACCCTTCATGTGGACACACCCCTTATTCTGGACACACCCACTTCCTGTGGACACACCCATTCCTGTGGACACACCCCTTCCTCTGGCTGCTGCCTTCAGGAGACCCATGGCTTCACTGGCCTCACTGTGCTCTGTCTCCCCCACTGCTGTTCTCCAGGCAGCCCACCTCCTGTTTACTCTTTGCAGTCTAATTAGGCTTGTTTTAATTTTTTAAAATTTATATTGCTGTGATGTTCTTGGTTGTGATAGAGAACTCAGAAGAGTTAGGCTGCTCCATCTCAGCAGATGAGGGAATTACAAGTCACTTTTGAATATTGCTCAGGGAAGTTCTTGTTGCTGCAGCCCTCAGGAATGAGCCAGGAAATGTCTTTGACAGTAAATGCCCGTCACTTTGGCTTTGGCAGTTTTACATTTGATATTTGGCCACTGTGAACATAAATAGTTGAGGTTCCATGCCCCAGAGCATCCAGTGGGTGTTGTTACCGCCAGTACTGATGGCATGGATCCCTGGAGTAGTCAGTGATTGACCTGGGTTGCTCATTAGGTGCCGATAAGGAAGGAAGGGAAGGGCCAGTTCTGTGTTAATTATGAACATATTTTGGGAAAAGAACAATCCTCAGTGACAGAACACATCTATTTTCATGTATTTGTATAAAACCCTTCAAAAATAGGAGCCAAAGGATGATACCAAATTGTTTATCTGAGGCCGGGGTGAGTGGGTGTGGGGGTGGGAGGGGTCACTCACCTCCTCTCACCTGTTTTTAGGTTGTTACACCAAATGTGATGGTTTGAGTGTGAAGGGACCCCAGTGGCTCACGGCTCTAAATACTGTTTGTACAGAGCAGTGCACCCCCCTTTCTTCATCCCTGCCCGTCCACCAGCAGCTGAGCCCCGCACATCATCCTGCTGCCTGTCTGTCTGCCACTGCCGCTGCGGGATGCTTCCCACCCTCAGCCTGCCATAACCTTCATGGTAGTTGGCGGGTATTTGTTCTGCTTCCTGTCGTCACCGCTGTCTCTTGATGGTCTCTATTACAGAACTTTTTTTTTTTTTTTTTTTTTGTGATGTCAGCTCTCCCATCTGTCTGCCATGGAACTGAGCCATCAGTGTCCAACAGAAATGATGTGACAGCCCCCAAATGTCCACCCATTTCTTCAAATGGCTCTGTACTCAGATCGAGTGTGACAGGTGATAAAGGGGGCCTGGGAATGATTGGTACCTCAGAGAACGGAGAACAGAGGCAGTTCTCTAAGTTCATGGAGAGGTGTGCTGTGAACTGGGTGTGGTGTGAGAGCCTCCTGAGGGATCAGGCTTCCTAGAGGCTTTCTCTCCCCTCCTCTACGTGCTTTGATCTTAAAAGAAAGGTTCTCTTAAAGAAATATTTACTCGGGATAATTGGTTAACTGTGTGGGAAAATTTTTTTCTGTGCTTATACAAAAGTTAATTCCAGATGGATTAAAGAATTCTATTCCCCAAAGAAACCATAAACAGCTGGAAGAGAAAGGAAAGAAGAGGAGCAAATACTTGGCTTGCTTTTGCATAATCTGGAAAGTTTCCTATCCCTTAAAAAGCATAGGTAAAGCACTGGGGCTCCCGAAGAGGGCCCGGGTTCAGTTCCAGCACCCACCTGGTGGCTCACAACACCTGTAATTTCAGGTCTAGGGCCTGTAATGTTCTCTTCAGTATCCTATGAATGTTGTGCCCACTGGGCCAACTCTCTGGTTCTCTTCACTAGAGCCTCTCCTCAGGGCTTAAGCCCTGAGTTTCTAACCATCTACTGAGCTCTTGCCCAGTGACCCTGGCAGGGTGCACCTGCCCTTTAACCATGCTCAGCTGAAAGGCAGGATGCAGCCAATGGTGGTTTGCAGTCCCCGTCACTCACTGGACGGTGTCCTCCAAGGGCCACATTTGATTGGGTCTGTAGTGTGCTGTGTCCACCCGAATAGGCTTACGATCTCAGCAGTTTACAGAAGGCTGTTTTCTTATGGGCTCACTCCGCAGCTGTGTTTCAAAATGTGACTTAGAGCTCAACTTAAGGAAAGATGATACTTTAGACTTCAGCAATTAAACAGCACATCATTAAATTTTGTGGCAAATAATTTATATTTTAGAGAAAATTTGAACCCTTAAGGACATGTAAGAATGTACTTTTGTACATTCTGGAGGTTTGGGGGACAGTTTCTCATCTTTTGATTCTCTGACTACCTAAAGCTAAGCACCCGCTTTGGCCTGTCTCTACATCTGGGATCGCTATTGATTTAGGGGACTTTCCAGGGCAGGGAGAAAAACTCACTTTGGAGTTATCCCAGTCTTTATCCCATTTTGGGTAGAAGTGGCCCCGGTATTCTCCATACATTCCAGAAGTAAGCTTTGATGTCGTCTGGAGAAGTCTGACACAGGCTGCACAGTGCACTCTATAGTATGTGCTCAGTAGGGAATGGAGTCCTCTGGGACCGGGATTCAGAGTCAGAGGGATAGAAAGAAAATATGGAACTCGAGGAGCCTGGGGCGGAGGGCCACAGGAAAAGGTTGGCATTGCCTCACATAAATGTCGGTGGAGGAAACAGACACCTATCCCTAAGTTACACCATGCAAGACCAGGTAGACGTGTAAACATTTGCTTGTGTAAGGGTGACAGCAAAACAGACTGGTGACAGGACCCACTAGCCTGAAGGAAATACAGATATATATTAACCTACAGTTGGGGTCTCTGCTATATTCAAAGCCAAAAACAAACCAAACAACCCAAACCAAGCCGTAGACCAAGGAAGGCATTTGTGACATGCATATTTCCCCATGGAGCTTCTAACCCCAAGGGCCAGAGAATCCAGAGAAAAACAAACACGACTTAATAGGCCCTTCACACGCGTGTCTCTTCACACATATGTCTATTCTTGGCTCAACACATGAGAAGATGTTAATAGTGATTAGGACTTAATAGTGATTAGGACAGCTCATAGCACATCTGTCTGTGCATGCAAGAGTGAGTGTACACTCGAGCACACACACACACACACACACACACACACACAAACTCACCCACAGCAGACATCTTAAACTAGGGACAGAGATATGTGCAAATAAAACTGTTGTGTCCACCTTTCTTTGGGTCTGGTCCATAGTTTACCAAAAAAACTAGAGTTAATTTGAAAGGCCCGGACTTCCAACCAAGTTTTAGTATTAATGACTAACAAAAGTGCTGGTACCTGTGGTTCTTTCTCCCGTGATCCTGGGACACCAAGAGCCCTAGTGTGCAAATGTCTTGCTTGGTCGCCATCTGCCACTTGGAGAATGTATCTTTGCATTGGGCAAAGGCAAATGAAGTCAGGGTGTCGTTTACCACATGGACAGAGATCTTTAATGCAGCCTTGCTTCTTCATAAATGTCCGAGCTTGTAAAGCGTGGCTGACTAAGCCTGGCCAGGCAGCACAGCTAAGACTGCACCTCTGGAAACACCTACCTCAGTGGCATCTTAGACAGACACTGTGTTTGCCTAACCATGAGCAGTGACCTCTGCCCGTACTCTTTGCAGGCTGGTGATGTACATCGAGAGAGACAGCAGGAAGACCTCCCCAGGCAAGGAGCTGCAGGCCGGGAGCGAGTACCTGGCCAGGTGCCTGGATCTCCTCATCCAGCACATGGTACAGGAGCCACCGAGGATCCTAGGTAAACCACAGCCACCTCCTCTGCGCCCATAGCTGTTAACCTTTCTATGGGTCGCTCTGGCATCCCCTCTTCTTCATTCTTGTTCTCTTCTGTTTTAACATCATTTTAAAATCAATTACTTTGGAATTTTTATGTTTTGAACATTTTCATCCCTTCAACTCCCCCCCTTCCCACCCCCGTAGCCCTCCCCCCCCTCCCTACCCTTTGACTTTCTCTTCCTCTTCTCCGTCAGTCTTCCTTTTAGTCCTCCTCCTCCTTTTCTTTTTCCCAATCAAGCCCAGCTTACATGGCCCAGCCAGTCTTGGGACTGGGGCTCTGAGGTGCAATCAGCCCACCGGGGTATTTCAATAAAATAAAACAAAACAAAACAATTACCTGACTCTTGCACTCCCAGCAGCCATCAAATGGTGGCACATCAATGTCCTTGTTGTTTGTGCTGGGATTCTGTCTGTCTGGAGCTTGTGCAGGTCTTGTGCCTGCCGTCACAATCTCTGAGTCCCCGAGTCTCTCTTGTTGCAGGGCAGTGTGGAGACATTTCTCTGGAAGACTTACATTTGCCTAGTCTGTTTTATAGGAGTGAGATGTGTTACATATGGGTGTTGCCTGAGGTAGATGGCTGCCTTAGTTAGGATCTCTATGGCTGTGAAAAGACACCATGAGCACAGCATCTCTTAGACAGAAAGCATTTAATTGGCACCATTGTCATCAGGACAGGAAGCATACTGGGATGCAGGCAGACACAGTGCTGGAAAGGTAGCAGAGAGCTCTACGTCCGGATTGGCAGACAGCAGGAAGAGACTGCCACACTGGGCCTGGCCTGAGCATCTCAGACCTCAAAGCCCACCCCCAGTGACACACTTCCTCCAACAAAGCCACACCTCCTAATAGTGCCACTCCCTGTGAGCCTATTCAGGCCATTTTTATTCAGACCACTGCAATGGCAATTTAAGAAAATAAATGACGTGGAAACCAGGACATGGTTCAGCTGGTGCTTGGCTCACATGTATGCAGCCTTGGGTCTGTCACCAGCAATGCAGAGTCCAGTAATAGAAGCCCTAAGATAGACAGACAGATAGACAGACAGACAGACAGACAGACAGACAGACAGACAGACAGACACGCAAATAAAATAAGATCTAATAGTTTTGGACATTGAGTTCTGTTATGATAAATCTTTCCGCCCAAAACCACCCGAGCCCTACTGCCACGTGGGCGCTTTCCACCAGCCGCCCAAGTTCTGCCCGCCCAGTTAGGGCCCCAAATAATACACAGAGACTTCTATTAGGTACAAATGCTGCTTGGCCAATGACTAGGATTTCTCATCTGTTAGCTCAGTCTTAATTATCATAAATCTATGTATTTTATAAGACTTATAGCGGATGCCTTCCGCTGGTGCCTTCTCTTGCCGGTGGATCACATGGCGACTCCAGAGCAGAGAGCAGGAGGAAGAGAGAAGGGGCGACTTCCTTCTTCCCTTGTTTATGAGTCTTCCTGTCATGTCACTTCCTTCGTGGATCACCACTTCTCTTCTACATTTCCCAGAATCCTCCTTGACTCCTAGTCCCGGCTAGCTTGCTGCCTCATTGGCCAAACAGAACTTTATTTATCATCCAGTAAGACAAACACATACACAGAAGCACTTCCCCCCATCAGAGTTCTTTTCTCCATCCTTGGCAGTGGTGGTGCCTACCTTTAATCCCAGCTCTTGGGAGTCAAAGGCAGGCAGATATCTTTAAGTTTAAGGCCAGCCTGGTCTACAGAGTGAGTTCCAGGCTGCAGAGAAACCTGTCTCAAAAAAAAAAAAAAAATACTGCTGCTTCTTTTCCTCACCATATTTGTTTTTTTTTTTCTGATTTCTTTTTCAAGCTGTATTTTATAATCTGTTTGCTTGTAATTTAAAGTTAGTTCTCTAAAGCAATAAGCAGTAACAGTCAATCTGAATAATACAAATACATTTCTAAGGCCACTACTGTTTCATAACCATAATTTTTTTTTTAATTTCTAGGTTAGAGGTCAGTTGATGGTGGCTCTGCAGACTGAAAAACTCTATCCCCAGAGACTACACTTGTGTTATTTTACCTGTGTGTAGATTGTTGGGGATGTGGCTCATCCGGTAGACTTCTTGCCTAGGATGCGTGAAACCCTGGGTTTGATTCCTAGCACTGCATAGAATCAGATATGCTGGCACACACCTAAAGCCTTACCTGTAGCTGAAGCCCCGAAGCCCCTGGGCGGTGTTGGCAGGAGGGTGATCCTCAGCTACATACTGAGTTGGAGGCCAACCTTAGCTACATGAGACCCTGCCTCAAAAAACCAAAACAAACAAAACAAACAAACAGAAAAACAATTGAGAACGAAAAGGCTCAGTGGCCACCTACCACCTTAGGTTGGAGGTGAATTACCTGGCCTGCTGGGTTACAGTGGAGCTTTGGCCAGAGCCTCCATCCCTCCGTGATGTGCTCCACAGGTGACATCCTCAATGCCCTGGCAAACGTGTCCGGCCGAAAGCATCCGTCGACGGTCCAGGGGAAGCAGCTCAAGATGTGTCTACCCATGATGCCTGTGGTGCTCCACCTGGTCATGTCTCAGGTATACCTGTCCGGGGACGATGTAACACACGTGGGCCCCTATCCCTTGTCCCCCGGAGTGGAGCCACCTCTACTGAGACGGCTGTTCCGTCTGCTTGTCTTTGACTAAGTTTGCTCCTGCCTGTCGGGATCTAATCCAGGGAACTCTCGCCCCACAGGTGTTCCGGCCTCTGGTGGTGACCGAAGACTTCCTGTTCAGCTATGGGACCATTCTTGTGAGTAGCAGGACTCATATCTGGCTAACAGTGCTGCCATTGCTGCGGGCTGTGGGCTGCGGGCTGTGGGCTGGGCTGTGAGAAGGAAGGAATTAAAAGTCTAAATGGCATTTGTTTGTAGGGAAGTGACCTTTTTATATTTTTATCTCTTCACTGTAATAAAATTTGACATTTGGGGAAAACACATTCTCTCCTGATAATGTATTTTGTTCAGAGGCAGCCCCTAATAGGGAAAAAAAAGTCCGCATAAACACTCGATAGACACCAAGTTAAGGGTTTGAAAGGACATGGGTGAGACTGGGGCTGAGAACACTGCGATTAAACTTCCAATCTCTCGGTCCAGCCACGCGCGTGGCTGTCTGTGATGACACTTCAGGAAGTTTAACCCAGTTTTGTTCCTTACTTTACCTGACTTTGACGACGTGAGAAGGCGTGGAGACCAAGTGGTGTGCTACTCTTCACGCCAGTTCTGCACACTCTAGTCTTCTTGATGATGCTGCGGTCCAGGGAGTTACAGGGTGTGCCGAGTGTGTGCCGAGTGTGTGCTGAGTGTGTGCTGAGTGTGTACTGAGTGCATACTGATGGTGTGCTGAGTGTGTGCTGAGTGTGTACTGAGTGCATACTGATGGTGTGCTGAGTGTGTACTGAGGGTGTGCTGAGTGTGTGCCGAGTGTGTGCCGAGGGTGTGCTGAGGGTGTGCTGAGTGTGTGCTGAGTGTGTACTGAGTGTGTACTGAGTGCATACTGATGGTGTGCTGAGGGTGTGCTGAGGGTGTACTGAGGGTTGCTGGGTGTGTGCTGAATGTATGCTGAGTGTGTGCTGAGTGTGTACTGAGTGCATACTGATGGTGTGCTGAGGGTGTGCTGAGGGTGTACTGAGGGTTGCTGGGTGTGTGCTGAATGTATGCTGAGTGTGTGCTGAGTGTGTACTGAGTGCATACTGATGGTGTGCTGAGGGTGTGCTGAGTGTGTGCTGAGGGTTGCTGAGTGTGTGCTGAGGGTGTGCTGAGTGTGTGCTGAGGGTTGCTGAGTGTGTGCTGAGGGTGTGCTGAGTGTGTGCTGAGTGTGTGCTGAGTGTGTGCTGAGTGTGTGCTGAGTGTGTGCTGAGTGTGTGCTGAGTGTGTGCTGAGTGTGTGCTGAG